CTCTGGGCTCTGAAGAGAGGCAGTCGCTTTGTCTGGCCTCAGTCGAATTGAAGTTGGCTTTTCTTCAAACAAGACGCTTGCTTCATCTCTCTACTTCTGTCGCCTTGACGCTTCTGTCCCTGCTCTAAAAACTGGGCTGGTGGACCCTCCCACCCCAAAATGTCATATCCAAGTCCAATATCCATATATCCAATATCCAAAGGAGATGATACAAAAAATTTGAATTCACCTCGCCAGTTCTTACAAGGGATGGTTGTCTCATCCATTCACTCATTCGTTTAGTCCTTCCGTCGGCCCTGGCTATGAGCCAGACACCAGATTGTGGATGCAGGGATGAAAACGTGGTCTCTTGTACTCAGGATGTTCACAGTTCAGTGAAAGAATAGACAATAAATATCGTATGTCCATTTATTGAGCCCTTTGCCCAGGATACTTTATCATCATTTTTACTTACTTGAATGTTTCCCATGGCCTGAGCTTCCTGAGAACTGGAATTCTATTCTACTTATCTTACATCATTAATTGGCACAGAGTAGGTTATTAATACATGCTTTTGAATTGAATTAAATCACCAAACCTGGGAAATATGAGAAATTCTTGCATGTTGGAAGGAATTAGCGTGGAATGTCTAGAATTTAGGGTACATATGGGGATTGGTTAAATATGAGTCTGGAGATGTGAGGGTCAGATCATCAAAGATCTAATGTGCCAAACCAAGGAATTTGGACTTTATCCTATTGTAGCAAATGAGGATTTCAAGTAAGGAAATGACTTGACCAGACTTGTATTTTAGAAGATGCCTCTGGCTGCAGTTTCATGGGGGAGTAGGCAACATAGGAGGCAAGGACACTGTCACTTCAGGCCAAAGGGGTTTGGACTAAGGGTGGGACTGTGCGAATGGACATGAGAGATGAGTCTCAGGGACAGCCTGTGAACCTGAGTGATGACAAAGGATTTTTCTCATATTCCAAGGAGTGAACAGGGAGGTTCAGAGATGTAGTGTGACATACCCAATGAGTTACCCTACAATTCGGGAAGAGCCAGACCTGAAAATAAGGTCTCATTTTAATCTAATGGAGTGATAACCCCTCAAGTAAGGGAGAGTAAACACAAGTGGGTTGGATTGTTACTTGGTGTTTCTTTGTCCAAGAGAGTTGGGTCTGCATTTCCAGGGGAATCCTTTTGCCCTTACTTCCCATTACTACCTATAAACTATCAGTTATCTTTCTATAAAAGTGGAACTGCCTCCTAGACCTGCCCTCTCTCCAACCCCACAGCCCCCGAGGCAAAAAAGGGGGTTTACAATGTCTGGGGGTCCCTCATGACTTATCCTGCCTGGGGGATGCTCTTTGGCCCCTCCTCAGTGAGAATTAGCACTACTACAGGCCAAAGTATCAGGAAAGGAGGCATGGCAAAAGTGGAGTGTTGTTCCCCAGTCAACAGAGCCCTCTCTGTCTCTTTTCCTTCCCTAGCTGGTTGTTGATCAAGACTCCTTTGAGGCTGTTGAGAGGGGTTTTTGATTTGTAGTAAGCAGTTTTATTCACTCTTTCAACAATATTGAAAGTCTGTTCTGTGCCAGGCACATGCTGGGCACAGGCTAGTGTTCTCCCATCTAAGGGCAAGAGGTGCAGGAAGAGGAGGAGCTGGGAGACAGGGCAACATTGCAAATTTCCTTCCTTCTCCCAACTTTCCCAACATGGCAGTTTTAAATGGTGCGTGTGCACACACAGTCACCTTGAATCAGGGGTGTCTCCATGACTGTGCACATTCCTATACCAGTCACTCCACAACTAAAACACGAATTGTGCAAATGAGTTTTCCAGAATATGACCAACTTCTAGATGGGGGCTGGTATGGCAGAATCCCATGAGTGTGCTGTCTGGTGCTCGTGAAAAGCCCTTTCACTCACCTCTGTCATTAACCCCTTGACATCTCTCTCCCATCCATTAACCAAGGAAAATGAACAAATCACATGGCCAGAGTCCATTTTGAACAACTTTTATTATATGTTTAGTGTTCTCTATACAAAAGAAATCAGTTTTTTTTTTACAGTGATTCAAAAAAAAAATTCTGAATAATTGGGGATTGGTTAAATATGAGTCTGGAGATGTGAGGGTCAGATCATCAAAGATCTAATGTGCCAAACCAAGGAATTTGGACTTTATCCTATTGTAGCAAATGAGGATTTCAAGTAAGGAAATGACTTGACCAGACTTGTATTTTAGAAGATGCCTCTGGCTGCAGTTTCATGGGGGAGTAGGCAACATAGGAGGCAAGGACACTGTCACTTCAGGCCAAAGGGGTTTGGACTAAGGGTGGGACTGTGCGAATGGACATGAGAGATGAGTCTCAGGGACAGCCTGTGAACCTGAGTGATGACAAAGGATTTTTCTCATATTCCAAGGAGTGAACAGGGAGGTTCAGAGATGTAGTGTGACATACCCAATGAGTTACCCTACAATTCGGGAAGAGCCAGACCTGAAAATAAGGTCTCATTTTAATCTAATGGAGTGATAACCCCTCAAGTAAGGGAGAGTAAACACAAGTGGGTTGGAACAGAAGTTGGCCATGTCACAGCTCAAGAGGACTGTGACTGATGCTCAGCTCAAGAGGAGTGTGAAGGAGTTGGCAAAGAGTTGGGAGCCGGGCGGAGAGACAACACTGACTGAGGACATTGCATTTGAGAATCAGAATAAAGAGCAGGCCGGGGTCATCGGATCTATATCATCTTTGAAAAAGAAACAGAGTAGTACACAAAATTCTGGATATCGTCTCCCAGACTTTTGTGTTTATTGCTTCACTGAAGTCTTCACATCTGCTGAACCCCAGCCCAGCAGATCCCCGGGAGGCAGGCTTGCATGGGCTTTGCCGCCTCTCAGCACGCCGCCAAGGACAGAACGGACTGAGACCCCTCCACGCCTCACTCCCGAGGAATACAGTGTGCCGAGGGCCCGGTGTGCTGCAAGTCAAGACACCAAGCTAAGGGGTACAATCTAGGTTTCACAGTTAACAAATACCAATCACCTTGTCGTTCTGTTCTACTGGCCTGGGTCTGCCCTTAACTGCACGGCTGGGTTAACAACAGGCTGTCGGAGACGGACTGACCTTGGACTCAGGAAGATCCTTCTTTTGTCTTTCATTTCGGGAGGCGTATGGGGGATGTGGGAGAAGCAGCAAAGAGGTACAAGAGGCTGGACCAGCAGGACAGATCTTACGTAATACCTCTGCTTGGGGAGGCAGCTGTGGTGAGGTGAAAGAATACTGGACAAGGAGTCAGAAGGCCCAAGTTCCAGCCCTAACCTTGCCTTACTTTACCAGCTGTGTGATCTTGAGCAAGTCCCTTCACTTGCCTGGACTTCCATTTCTTTCTGTACAATGAATCTTTTCCATTAGATCAGCTCTGTGATTCCTTTGCACGCTGAAATCTGATTCTGGCCTGAGCTATGCACCTTTGTACCTGTTTCATTTCCATCCTCATCATTAAGAAACATCCATTTAATACTAATACACTGGTAAGAGAAGTACAGGGTTCGAGTGTGGCTTGAGACACTATTTGGTGGGTCTCGTGGCTTTCCTGGCTGGCTGTCCTCTCCCTCTGACCCTTCTCTGCATGTGTCTCAGGAAAGCCTGTTCTCAGGAGGGGAGGAAAAGACAGGGTGCTTCTCTGGGTTTGGCTTGTGTGGGATGGGGACAGCCACAAGGTCTGGGGTGAACTCACACGGGTGGCCCCTGTCTAGTTTAAGGGAGGGGCTGCCCAGGAGTTGGGCTCTGCTCAACTTGCCTGTGTCTCCCAGGGCACAGAGTCTCCTCCTGACATTTCAAGTTCTTTGCTTCATTGGTTTGAGTCCTCTCTATTTTTCTTTTTTTAAATCAAGGCCCTCCTACACGCTACTCCTGAGCCACCATGCAGAGCTCCAAGCAGGTTCCTTTGCTTCACAAGGCAATTTCTGGTGGACCTAACCACAGCCGTGGGCTGGTATGGGTGTGGCAGGGGGTGGGCAGAGTGGTGACTGGGCAAGAGGGCCACTCTACACCAAGGCATCACGAGTGGGGTGCAATACTCTGTGCCAGCACCCGAGGAACCTACTCCCTCCCAGGGCAGTGATTCCCTAGCACCAGCCCCAGCTGATGGAAAGCCTGAGAAATTTCTCCTCTGCACAGTATTAGCAAAGCAGCCTCACAAAGACTGAGATAAGAATGTGTTACATCCCTGCTCCTTCCATCAAGTGGGCTGTTTGTGATGCTCTGACATGGCCCTGCCCTCCAGGAGGGGACATAAAGAGCCGACGTCTGTGCTGTTCTTGGGAAAGCTTCCCTCTTCTTTGGATCAGACTCTCTCTCTCTGGGTTCTGCCTACAGGTATCACCCAAATAGGGCCCAAACCGGGTGGCCTCTGCCCATCCCCCAAGTTGCCCATGGCACCCACACTGAGCCCTCTGTGTGTCATTTCATGTGGGACTGGGTGTGGACAACCCCTCTCTGAGACAACGTCATAATCTGGATTACTACCTCCCAGAAGGACTGCCCTGCAATTGGGCTGTGGCCTGCTTTATGTATGGGTGCATGCTGTGGTGCTGGCAGTGGCAGGGGAGTGTGTCCCTTAGCTGGAAAACCCACAAACATCCTCAGATCTGTTTCCACCCCCTCCCAAGGCTAACCGTGGTCAGGGAAACTATGAACACACTATCTGGGCCCAGGTTGCAGATGTACCTCGCAGGGTTAGCAAACGTTGGCACTGGCTGACTCTGGGACAAGCAGTCACTTCTGCAGACCTTGGGACTTGCCAGGAATGAGGAGGGCCAGGTGTCTCCAACCTTGCAGGGCAAAGGATCTGGGCAAGGGAGGGAGCTAGTCTGGCTTCCCCTTTAGCTAAAACTCAACCATCTCCTAAAAAGCAAGGTAGAGAAAGACGGGTCCCATTCACCATAACCCAGGCAAGGTGGCAGGCAGCTGTCCCTGACGCTGCAGCTTCCCAAACCCTGGCCTCCCTGCTCCTTCAAGTGGACCCATGCCCTTCTGTGGAGAGAGGGATTCAAAAGAGGGACTGAACAGGGGAGACAGAGGCACCAGAACAGAGACAGGTTAAGCAGCTTGTCCCAAGCGGCAGAGCAACAAGGCTCAGGAAGCAGGACGGTCCCTCAACTCCACGCTGCAGGTCTTGAATGCCCCGTCTTGCCCCGCCTTACTGACCAGATGGACCAAGTTCTCCCTTGGAATCCTCTCCCTTCAAGCTTGGAGCCACCAGCGGCTTAAGCAATGGAGGGCAGAATGCTCCCAACTCAATAGCCATTGTGTCCCGAGACTCGGTTCCAGAACTGTAGGCCCCAGGAGGGGAAGGGACCACATCTGACTCACCACAGTATCCAGGGCTCAGGCCTGAACTCAGACTACATGTTCAAAAAGTATTTGTGGAATGAACGAATGCATGGACCAATAAGAACATGGGAAGCCACAGCTGTCGCGGCTGAGCACGCAGGTGGGAATGCAGCCCAGTGAATGAAACTTCCAGAGAGTCACTGCTAGATGACCTGCACCTCTTCTCTCCCAGCCGGACAGGCTGAAGCACCAAGGTAGTCCCCCACTCCTGGCATCATTGTTGGTATGTGCTGGGGTGGCTGCTTGAGAGACCCAGCTGCAGGGAGTGCTGGGCAGTATGCTTTCCTGCTGAGCTGGGGTGGACTCTGGCATGGAGTCCACAGAAAACGGGCTCTCCTCTTCCTGGAAAGGACTGCCTCCTTCACCCTGCAATCCGCACACATCAGAGTTTGATCTCTCTGAGCACCTGCTGTCTTTGCCTGGGGGAAATTTGGTTCTTCAGCCCTAGATTTGCTCCTGCCTGGAGGGCTGTGATCACGTGGTGGTGGCAGACGGCCCTCAGCACCCACAGAATGACAGTCCGAGAGAGGGGGCTAACTGCGTTCACTTCACATACAAGGAAGGATGGTACAGAACCTGGCAGGACACTGCAATACGGTGCAAAGACAGGCTGAGGACTCACCTCTTCCCAAGACCCTTAAGGCAGAAGAAGCCCTTCTCAGTTTGTGTGGCAGACTTTCCAGAGGCAGGGAGATGGCCACGGTACCTCTAACAGTCCCTTCCCGCCCTAAGAGCCTCTCTTCGGTGCAATGGGTTTGCTAACATAGACAGTGCCTGAGAACTGACAACTCTGCTCAGATCCAAAGTGTTTTTCGGAAAGGCTGGTCCTTCACTTCAGCTCAGAGGCACGCTCCCTGACACTCCCTTCAGGGGCAGTGGGTCTAGGCTGCAGGAATGCCCAGCTGTCTCCAAGCAGATGTTGGAGGAAAGCCAGGGGAGGAGACCCCCTGAGCTCACTGCCCAGCCTTCTATTTACCCTGTTCCCTTTCATCATGAGAGAACTGCCCCCCAGGCTTCTAGGCAGCAAACCTGGCAGCAGCTTGAGCCAAAGGACCATTACACACTATCAGGTTCAAACAACATTACTGGAGGGGAGGAGACCCCCTGAGCTCACTGCCCAGCCTTCTATTTACCCTGTTCCCTTTCATCATGAGAGAACTGCCCCCCAGGCTTCTAGGCAGCACACCTGGCAGCAGCTTGAGCCAAAGGACCATTACACACTATCAGGTTCAAACAACATTACTGGCTCAGCTCTGGGCCACGATTTCTTACCTGTAGACAATGTGTGTATATCTACGGATTTGACCTTCAGCTGAATGATTATTAAGTGATGCAAGCATTGCTAATACCTGTGTGGCTTAAACATGTGGCAAATGATGCTTTAATAAAGTCTCTGAAGGACACTGGTCCTGCCCAGGCTCCCCGACCAGCAGCTGGAGGCTCAGATCAGAGGGAGTTCCTGGGGCAGGTGATCCATTCCTGACAGCCGGCCTCACCCTCCTCACACTGACTCATGCTGCAGAAACAGCTAAGGGGTTACTCCCAGGCTCAAGATTTCACTCTCTCTCTGTCTCTGAGGCTAGGTACCTTTGGTTTCAAAAATGGATTAGGTGGGGAGGGTGAAGGCAGCACCTTCGGCCTGAGAACTGCATGTCTGTGAGTGTCTCCATTTGGGGCAACAGGGTGAGGGCACATGTTGAGTGGCTGCTTCTGGTCCTGCCAGGACACTTGCATAGGCCACTCTGTTCTTCTCGAGACAGATGTCGCTGGAGGCTTCACGGCTTGCAGGGTGGGGGTGGGGGGTGGGGAACTTCAGGGACAGATCAGAGCTGCATAAGGCATATGAAGAGCATTGAGTCCCTCCAACCACCAAGCAGGGGCATCACAGCACTGTCAGTACGATACCACCTCAGGGTCCCCTGATATGTATATATCCTAATGAAAGGACAGACCAGCTCAGTCTTGGGGCAGAAGGTCCCCATCCACACACCACGTCAAACACGAGTCTCAACGTCATACAGAAATGACTGAGGAGATGGTATCTGCTAGAGATAAAAGGGGAGCAGTGCTTTACACCCCCAAACACACCAGCAAACCTTCTGCAGCACAGGGCTCCTTCTCCTCGGGGGTAGCAGCATAGACTCCAACCAGGTGGGCAGGTGCCCTCTAGCCTGGACATAGTGGGTATGGTCCTCTCTCCTACATCCTGGGTTTCGCTGATGGGAAGAAGTCCAAAGCCAGCCTTTTTCTTCTCTCTAGAGGTGAGCACAGTTCCCCAGGGAGCAGACACTTGATTTTCTTCTGCTTGAGGTACACGGTCACTGGAGTCGAAGTCCTTTCCACCAGTGCCCACTCCTGTTCCTCAGACTTCTGAGTCAGTGCAGCTCATGTCTTGGAGACTCTGGAGGAAGGGGCTGGGTAAGAACGAGGAGCAGAGGTAAACTCGCCTCCCAACTAAAGCAGAGAGAGGCAAGGAGGTCTTCCCACCCTCTTCCTGCCAAAAATACTGTCATTTTCCAGAAGCTCATGTCTTGGAGACTCTGGAGGAAGGGGCTGGGTAAGAACGAGGAGCAGAGGTAAACTCGCCTCCCAACTAAACCAGAGAGAGGCAAGGAGGTCTTCCCACCCTCTTCCTGCCAAAAATACTGTCATTTTCCAGAAAGCCAAGTCCAGTTCAGCAACTGACAAGGCCCAGGCGGACGGGTCGGGAGCAAGGGGAGACATATGGCGAGAAAGGCATCCTTCAGAAATACTGGCCCAGCGGCGGCTCGAATCCTGCAGCTTTCCTACATGTTCTGTTACAGGGCAATCCTTTTTGCCTATGTTTGCATTTCCTGGGGGAGAATCCACCTATTCTTTCTTTTCCAGGGACATTTCTTCAAAAGGAAAAGAAAATGGAGACATTGGGTCTGGAGGGGGAGATGTACAAAATAAAAATTAAGACAATAAAACGTACCATAACCAACAGAAATGGGGGAGCATGTGTGCCAAGGTCAAGGGTGTGGCGTGGCGGAAAGCTCAGGGTGGCCGGGAGTCGGGGCAAGTCACTGGGTCCCATCCAGTGAGCTTAGCTGTGGCTCCAGCTGTCTCACACTGGTGGTGCCCAGAGGGGTAGGGGGTCATTGGGAGGGGGCTTGTGGGTGGCTGGGTGGTCACTGGTCCTCACAGCCTGGCAGACCCCCATATTGTACCCTTGTCCCTGAAGGTGGCGGTGGCTTTGCGGTAGGTCTGCAGTGGCTTTGTCTCCCCCTTTCCCCTCCTCCCACTTGCAAAGTAGTGGCTGTGCCCGGGTGGGCTCCGTTAGGCCAGAGAATAGATGGCATTGACGGGTGACGTGGCCTCCGAGCTTTCGTTGCCCTCTGTTTCCTCCTTGTCCTTTTTGACTGTGTACTGGCCGATGAAGGAGCCGTCTTCATTGAACTGCCCCTCGCCCCCCTCGCCATAGTCCACCAGGCTGTCGTCGCTTTCCTGCTGCTTGATGGTGCCGTCCAGAGATGTCTGGCTGCCCTGCAGGGGCTTGTTGTCCTCATCACTGGCCAGAGAGAGAAACAGAATCAGGGCCTGGCATGGCCCAGTGCAGCCCAAACAAACCCAGGCGGGGCAGATGGGGCAGCCAGCCCCTTGCCAAGCACATGCCTGCACCTCTCAGAGAGGTCAGAGATCCCCCAGGCCAGCCCCCACCCAGTTCTGCAGAAGGGAAACTGACGCCTAGAGAGGACAAGCGTCTTCTCCAAGATGAGGTGGCAACTCAGTGCAGAGCAGGGACTGGAGCCCACACTTCTGAAGTCCTGGTGCAGGGTCCTTCCCGTGAGAGCAGGCCACTGTCTGTGGTGGGAGCAGACGGAGGATGGCCACCCCACAGAGAGGTGGAGCAATGCTTGTGAGACCATGCAGGGTGGGGAGTTCTTGTCCTGAGTGTGTCACTGTGTGATTTTGTGATGCAGGTCTTAGTCTGTCTATCAAGAGGGGTTGGATCAGCTTTGACCTTCTGTGATCTGTGAATCTGCAGGAAAAGGCCCCACCCTTTACACAAAGCAAAGGAACAAACCTCTTCCCTGCCTTAGTGTTGTTTCTCTTAGCTATCTGGTTTATCTGCAGATACTATCATGTTGGGCCCAGCAGTAAGAGACAGTAAGAGAGTGCTGCGGGCAGCAGGAGGGAGGGGCATGTTGATAAGTGCGTGAGGCCAGCAAGGCTCAGAGGGACCTTCCCAGCTCTTCAGAGTCCCTCAGGCCTTGGTCTTAAGCCCCTCCTGTGCAGGGACAGCAAGAGGCAGGTGGGTAAAGTGGACTCTGCCCACTGGGAACAGACGTCCAGTCAGGATGTCTGCTGTGCTCCTGAGGAACGAGGGACAGCTGCCTGAGCCGGCGTCTGCTCAGACACTGCGTCCTTCCCCAGCTGCAAAACTCTCTCTGCCCTTTAGACTCAGAGGGGGGACCAGGTGCTGCTGGCTGCACTTCTGAGGTGAGACGAGCCCCCAGGCAGGAAATAGCCGGGGACCAGCAGTGGGAGCCTGGGTCCTAGCAGGTGAGGCCACAGCAGTGCCAGGTGGTCTGAGCACACACACACCGCACCTCCCCTGCTCCCAGCCCACACTCAGTCCTTTCTGGGCGTGGGGAAAACAGCCGGCTGCGCGGTCATTACAGCAGGCAGCATTCTTGTTTCTAATAGCAGCGTCGGGCAAAGACAGCCATCAGGGGAAGGTGGTGGGCCAGAGCCAGAGCTAAGCGATACGAGATGGAAAGCTATTAGCCCACTCCCCGCCATGCGCTGAGTGAATGCAGCCCCATTAACGCCGCCTAAGTGTGTTTGCTGACGGCAGTGCTGTGGGAGACAGGCTGGAGCGAGGAAGTAGGCCTCCAGGGCTGCGTTGAGTTTGTGCAGGAAGTGGAACTCGCTCTTTATGAATTGGCAGATTCTAACCGTCAGGTTCCTCACCCCACTCGACAGTCTTTTTCACGTGCACCCCTTCCCCAGGGCCCTCTACTCCACCCGCAGGAGCATGAGGATTGTGCTCTGTGATTTGTGAGAATTCCTGCCCTGGTTCCAGGCAGGTAAGCTGAATGCAACCACTGGACAGAGGCAGTCCAGCCAGGGTGAGAGGCAGGGGATGGGTCTTTAGGGTGTCAGGGTCTTGAAGGGAAATGGATCTAGGTCTGGAAAGAACAGACCTCTTCTAAGTGCTGCTTGAAAGAAAGCAGTATGAATGGGGATAGCCCTGGTCTAGCTACTTGTTCGCCTAGTTCCAAGAAAACTTCAAGGTCCAGGTGGACAGACATAGGACAGAAAAGCAGAGAGAGCCCCCATCGGAAAAGAGGCCCAGCAACTCAGCCCCAGAATGGAGTAAGGTTAACAGAACTCCTCCTTGCCCCCAGGCCGCAGAAACTTAGCATTAATTTCAGCCTTTTCCCAGTTTAGGGCTCTTGGGCTCATCCCAGTGGGGGCTCTAGAATGAATGCTGCAGTGATGTGTGTGTGGGGGTGTGAGGGTGTGTGAGTGTGTGTCCCCCTGTGTGTCGGGGCATGTTCCCGTTATATATATATACCCAGCCTCAGTGTCTGGAGGGTGGGGGGAGGCAAGTATTTTTGGCCAACAGCTTTGGTGTATGGGCAGGACAGGTGCACAAAACAGCAGCTTCTCCCAGTGCAGGCTGCCTGGCCCTGTGTTGGAGCAGGGCCTCACCTCTCTTCTCTGGCTGCACTGAGGGTCTCAGGGAGAGAAAGCCCCACGGCCTTTGGAACTAAAAGCCAGGAAATGGCTCTCAGCCCATGGGGAAGCTGGGCCCTGCCAGGGGAGCTGAGGACAGGGAGGGAAGAAGGGGAGGGCCCACTTGTGCTCGCCCTTCTGGGAGACTCATGGGGATGCTGGGACTGGATGGACAGTTATGGTCCCTAAGCTGCCAGACAGGCTCCTGTGTGGGTAGTGGCTCCACCATCCATTGATCTGATCCTGCTTACGAGGCTGCTGATGGGCAGAGTGGCAGAGGCCCAAACAGGATAATGAGAGGTTGCAGGAGGACAGGGGTGACCTGGGTTCAGACAGTAACTGGGTGGGGGTAGGAAAGGAAGGCTCTGATCAGACATTTCCTCCCACCCCATTGGATTTGGGAGTGAGACTCCACGATCCACCCTGCATGACTCCTGAGCTCAAGATATACTTGACATCAAAATGGACAGGTAACAGCTTTGCAAAGCCCAGAGACAAAGCCCCATGCAGACGTGAGAGGGAGCATGGGTGTAAAACAGCAGCACTAGCTGGAAGTCCGGCCCCTGGTCCTTCCTGCTCTGCCACTAGCTCACTGGGTGGAGAGTGCAGAGTCTTGGGCAAGCCAATTCCCAGTCTGGACCTTAGTTCTCCCATCTGGGACACAGAGTGCTGGACCAGACACCTCTCCAAGTCCTATTCCAGTCTAGAGCCCAGAGATATTGCCAGGTTCATGGGGAAAAGGCCTAGAATCAATCCTCCCCCGCCCTGGGTCATTATCTTCAGGGTTAGGGGTGGGGTGCAGGCAGAGAGGAATCCTGAGTGCCCACCTCATTTCACAGCCAGAGGGGCCCAGGGCTCATTTTCAGAGTAAAAGGTGGAAAGATACAAACAAGGAATTCAATACACTTGAGATGTGCAGCTGAATGAATGAAATGCTACTCGTGGGATGAACGTGAGGGTTGGGCAGCGCCTCTCAGGGGTGCAGCCTCATCTGGCACTGTCAGAACAAGCAGCCTCTCCGAGCAAACCTGGTAGCAAGGACATCCAGGCAGTGGCCTTACAGTCATGCTGAGCTGCTCCGAGGCGAGGGGGCTGCCTCCCTGGGGTACCCGACAGGGGAAAAGGAGATCACGCACCTATAGTCAAATGAGCCATCCTCTTCTTTGGGGTCTTCGGGGCCAAGGGGAACATCCTTCTTTTCTCGTACTTGGTCAGTAAGAGAAGCAAAGACACAGACACGAGGTTAAGAAGTATGCCCCCACTGCCCCGCTCTCCTGAGTGCAGAGCCAGAGGACAGCGCCCGGGGCTTGAAGACGCTCTCCCTCTTAATAAGGTGCCTTCGCTGCCTCCCTTGTTCTTGCCGCCTGCGCTCAATCATGTACCATGTGATTCTGCCGCCTCCTCCCCTCAGGAGTCTTTTTACATCTCCTCTGACAACTGAAATCTTCTCCCACCCAGCCCCCCGATCTCTGCATGAAGTCTTCCCCGAACAGATGTGCTCCTTTCCTTTGCCAAAGCCAATCCCCCATCGTTTGTCCCTTTCTTATTCTGCTCTGTATTGTAATTACTTGTGCCAGTGTCTTATGCCCGTAACAGAATGCTGGTTGTTTCCTCCCGGGTGGGGGGCTGGTGTTTCTTCAAAGCTCCCAGCAGAGTGCCCAGGGCAGAGGGGACACTCCACACAAACAACTATGGGATGGAAAGTGTGCTCACATCTGCGACCTCCCTTCTTAGTGTGCCCCTCTTCTCCCACGCCTCCTCTGTGATGTGTGAACATCCAGCCAAGGCCCTGTCTTGTTGTGCAGTGGTTGTGTCTTCTGTTCAGCTGGTGTCCTTCAGGAGAGGTTATCTTTTCCTCTGGTATCCCTAGCAGCCAGCACAGAGGCTGGCATACAGCAGGTACTTCCACGAAGGACTCTATGTATCCTTTTTGTGATACAAGGCAGGATAATCACTGCCTCTTTAGGTGAGGGAAACTGAGGCCTTGAGAGGTGGAGAATGTGTCACACAACTAGTTAGTAACTGAATAAAGCCTAGAGCCAGGCCTCATGGCTCCTGGTTCACTCATCTTTTTAATGTACCAGGGGCTTACTGTGTAGCTGCGGGGAAAGAATTTAGCTTTGAAGAACTTTCTGGAATGGGACGCTTTCTGCATGGGCAAAGGAAGGCTCAGAGTTTATCTGATGAGTTCCTCAGGTATTCCAGTTCCACCTGGGATGGGGGATGACTTGGTGAGGCCACCCAAGACATGATGTAACACAGAACGCCAGCCTTCTCCCTAACTCTTTCTCTCTTACAGAAGGAAAACCAACCTCACACAGCAAAACAAAGTGCAAAAGTAAAAAATTATAATTGCCGCCCTCACTTAAGTAGGGGCATGACTCTTCAGAATCCTAGGGTCTGCAGGTACTTAGGCAGGATACAATACAAAACAAATAGAATAGAATCTCCTCCCCCTTTTATTTCCTTTGTGTTGAGTTTTAGGGGGGTCCTGGAGAGGACCTGTTCATAGAGATGGGGAGAAGGAAGCATTTGGGGAACAAGGGGTGTGGATCTCCTCCCCCTTTTATTTCCTTTGTGTTGAGTTTTAGGGGGATCCTGGAGAGGACCTGTTCATAGAGATGGGGAGAAGGAAGCATTTGGGGAACAAGGGGTGTGTCTGGTGATGGGGCTTTGGGGGGCAGGGTGCAGTTTCATTCTGCAGCCCAGCAGGATTTGCACTCTCAGGGTCATCAATTATCCTGTCTCCTGTTACCCTACCCATCCCATCACAGACAGATGGCTCTCTTGGCCCCGCCATTTGAAAAACAATCAATATTTCCAGAAGCAAGAACGTCAGAGGTCCCTGTCCTTGACCTTGGTCTGTCTGGGCTGGAGGAGCTTGAGGCCTCCAGAAAAAAATGCCCCTTTGGGACTCCGGGGAATCTGTGGGGGTCCCTATCAGTGCAACCCATCCCTCGGCCTCCCCGCCCCACCCCCTCACATAGGGGCTGACCCTCTGATAGAGGCATCTGTGATTGCACCCTCGTCCGGCTGAGTGCTGGTCCCGGTAGCCTCTCCAGGGTGTGTGCCTCTGACCAGACTCCTCCCCTCCCCATGGTTAGAGAAAATGCTTCTCTTCCTGCCTCCTTTCCTGGGACACAGGAACCTAATGAGATTCAGGCTGAAAAAAACCAATTTACTGAGCAGATGGATGGTGAGTCAAAGGGAGGGAAGGCCATTCTTAATAGGAGCCGGGGTTCCTTCCAGCCCTCTCTGGAGCTGCCTGGACCCTGCCATCCGCCCACCTCTGGCGAACTTAATTAACTTGAGTGTGTGCTGGCAGCTCCCGGATACACAGAACAGGCAAGAGGCCTGCGTTTCCAAGCTTGGCCGGGCCTGGGTGCACGGAGAGGACAGAGCTCCCAAACCTCATGGGAAACTCGCCTGCCCTGCCGCCAAGCCCACCCCTCTGTCACTGCTCACCTGGGTACTTGCCACCACGACTCCTCTTGATGAAACAGACAATGAGCAGGATCAGCACCAGGAGGGCGATGGCGCACATGAGCCCGATAAACCAGCCCTGGGTGGCGATGTCCGCTTGGTTGTTGGTGTAAGCTGGCAGAGAGGGTCGGAAGCAAACCCGTGAATGATTTCATGGGGAGGGGTAAGGAGGGAGATGGGAGGGGAGGGCTTGACCTACATCACCTGGATGTTTCTCCTGATACCTAGCGCTAACACCTAGCTACCCTCTGGCCCAAACTATCCCGCAGAAGGGACGAAAAGAATGTAATTAAAGAGCCAAGGTCAAAAGAAAAGAGGCAAAGGAAATGGTACAGGAAGCAGATAAGAAGCAGATGGCTGAACAGGCCTCTGGCCCAAACTATCCCGCAGAAGGGACGAAAAGAATGTAATTAAAGAGCCAAGGCCAAAAGAAAAGAGGCAAAGGAAATGGTACAGGAAGCAGATAAGAAGCAGATGGCTGAACAGGTCCTTTAGGAAGGAGAAAGTTTCCTAAGGATGAGGCGTGACATTCTCGTACACCAGAGAGCTGGCCACAGCCTAGAGGATGGCCAGGGATTGGCCATGGAAGTATGATTCCCATGAATGGGCCCAGGGCAAAGAAAGAGGACTGTGCATGCCACCCATCAGGGGGTGGATGGAACACCCTCACAGGCCTACACAGGTGCAGGGTGCATCCTGGCCCACTAGAGTGGCCCCGAAGCCAGCCCTGGCAGTGGGTCCTGGGCCGGGGGAGGTCCAGGAGGCCCCGTGCCTCTTCATGTCTTCCCAGATGGATTGTGTGCTCCCGACAGCAAAGACAATCTGGTGTTGGTACCCCCAGATGAGCCAGCAGCAATATTAGGATGGGGGCCGTGCCTTCTATTCCCTCCGTGCCACTCCCGGGTGACTTTTGCACAGGGAGACCACCCTGGTAGTCTGTGACAAGGTGGCTTGCTTCCCTGTGACAGCGAGTCTCTGTCCCTGCCTGGTGTGTCTGGAGACCTGTCTCAACACGGGCAGATCCCTTCCTGATGTGAGGGGCACACAGGTGGGCCTAAAGAACAGGAGCTCAGGGGTCAGCTGACGGTGTCCTTGACGGTCCAGTCGGGTTTGGGAGGGGGTGTGGGCAGCAGCCACTTGCCCTTCTCCTTCCTATGGATCGGACAACAAAAGCGACACCTCCATATAATGCAGCCTGTTGTGGAAAATGAGACTCAGAGGGGAAGTATCAGAGGAATGGAACACACCCAAAGCAACCCTGGAGCCAGCCCAGGCCAAGGAAGCCTTGGGAGAGCCAGACAACCACAGAAGCCCAAGAGCCCCAGAGCCCAAGCCAGGAACTGAGCCTCCTCCCAGGGGGAGCACAAGGAAGGGTGCGGGAGACCCCACAGCCCTTGTGCTCCAGCATCTTCATCACGTGCCATTTCATGGGGCAGGTATCTGGGTGCATCTTACTCATTGCTCTCCTTGGGGGCAGAAACTGTTTTTATAGTCTTCCTGGTGCCCAGCTGAGGGCACTGCACCAAGAAAGTTCTCAAAAAATGGTGAAGAGTAGCAAACGAATGCTTCTGTGCTCTCTGTGCTCCTGCTGCCCAGGCAGCTGTTGGCTGAAAAGCAGTCAGTCCCAGTTAGCACACAGCCTGTGATTACCCTGGTCTATGTAGGCTGCGGGGGGAGGTCCCATCCCTGCCTCCACTCCTCCTCCTGGCAGGCCATTCTCTACAGTGTCAGACTGATCTTTCCAAAACCCCAAGTAGAATCAAAGCACTTCCTTGCTTCAACCCTCCAAAGCTTCTCATTGCTACTGGAGGAAACTCTACATTCCTTATCCTGACCTGTTGGGCTCCGTCAGAGCTGGCCCTGGCACCTCTCTAGTCCTACTGCCCACCACTGTCTCCTCACCCTCTAGGCTCCAGCCACACTGGCCAGTCTCATTCTTGCCTCAGGGCCTTTGCACCTGCTGCTTTTTTTCCAGATGGCTGCCTAGGCAAATACCACCTCTTCAGCAAGGCCTTCTCAGACCTTCCCAACTAAAGCAAAAGCCCCCTCCCCTACCCTCCCACTTTCTATCGGAGGGCTCTAATTTATCTTTTTCATAGCACTTGTAACCATTTGATAAATTACTACTAACAGTAATTTACACTAGTAAGCACTTTCTATGGGCCAGGCACTACTTTAAGTACTTCCTCACACATTATCTGAGTTGATCCTCAGCATGACCCCATCAAATAGGTTTTCATTTTTATCACTATTTTAGGGGGTGCTCTGCAGTCTCTCCCTCCATGTGTCTTTCCCTTCCTCCCAAGAGAGCTTGGACTGCCACCCTGGCTTGCCACCTTTCCACATTCTGCCCCTCCTGCCCAAACCTCTGATTGCTCCAACTCACACCGTCTCTGAACTCTGATTCACTCCCATCTACTCCAAGCAACATGACATTTAGTTCTTCCATTTCCTGGGTCCTGGTTTCCAATTATGCTATTAAAGTCTTGAGAAGAGGGGATCTTTCTGAGTCCTCTCATACTTAGCACAGTGCTGGTCCCATAACAAGTAGTCAGGGACTACTTTTCGATTAATGGATCAATTTAATCCTAATATAATAGGTTTAACCCAGGGTTCAGTTTATCGCCTGGATACCAGTGAGGGGTGACGTGGTCCTCGGTTGGCCCATGGCCCACACGTGGGCAGTGGGATAAAAATTGCTTCCACTTGTGTTTGGACAGCAGCACCACCTTTTGCAAAGAAGTTGGTTTGCACGTCTGCAGTAACCCAGTTGCACCACTGTCTTCCTGGTGCTTGTCATGATACAGTGTAACAGCCATCTCCACAGACTCCCTTTCTCTTGGTAAAAAAGTTATGATTCCAGGGAAGAGCTGGCATATTGGCAATTCAGAAAGCAAATGTAGCTTTCCCTTCCTGACAGTACCGGGTCAAGTTCAAATGTTACTTTCTGTCCATTCAGAAAAGGTCAAAGAATTTCCTGTGGCTTTTGGACAGAAAGCTGTTTAAAACTAAGCGGGATCTTGGGTAAGGTAGGCTCAATCACACCCCAACAAAATAATTTAGTTTCTCAAGAACCAAAAGAAATTTAGGACACATGATCTCACTTATAATGTGTCCCCATGGCTTGGACTCCGAGAGGAAAGCATTTCAGCAAGGCTCCAGGAGTTACACTTAGCTGCATATTCAATCAATCTGTTAAACTTGTTTCAAGATTCCTGACGGGCCCAGGAATATCAGCATTCAAAGACCGGGTGCATTTACACTCACTGCCTTCGGCTGGAACCAGCAGGGAGCTCATTGGGCCCACAGGCCTGGCCAGCACAGGCCTGGCCACCTCTGACTCTGGACTAGAAGCCACGTGTGTGCCTTCCACACCAAACCCTACAGCCCCGCTCAGAAACTGGCAAGTCACCTGTAAAGCAGGCACTTCCGATGACTCCTAATCTTAATTGGGAGTTGGGCCCACAGGCCTGGCCAGCACAGGCCCAGCCACCTCTGACTCTGGACTAGAAGCCACGTGTGTGCCTTCCACACCAAACCCTACAGAAACTGGCAAGTCACCTGTAAAGCAGGCACTTCCGATGACTCCTAATCTTAATTGGGAGGCACTTGGTTTGGCCATGGAAGAGAGGCCAGTCACTCAAAGTCTGCAGAAGAATTATATTCTAGGAATAGGAACAGATGAACAAAAATAACAGGGATGGATTTTCTTCAAAAACAGTCTGGCTGGGCTGCTCTCACGTAAGCACCACTTCACACCTCTCCGTACCCACCTCGTCCCGTCCTGGGTTGACCGAAGAGATGTTTCTCTCAAACACAGCAGAAGCTGACTACAGTTAGGTCCCTGAATGTCTCGCCTCCCCACTTTCCTGAGGTCTGTGCAGGCTCACTGTCAGCATCACCACACCGCTGCCTTCCCCACCCTTCCGCCTTCTCCATCCTGCCCACCAGTATGGAAGGGCCAATGGGCCTCTTGGAGTCCAGTGTTATGAGTTGGTAGCCCCTCAGGTCTCTTTGGCTTCAATAGCTTCAAGGAGGTGATTAACTATCCACTGGGATCTTTCTGGTGAGGGTCAGAGAGCCTGTTAGCATTCCCAGTGGTCTCCTTCCATTTCCTTCCTGAACCACTGTAGCATATTTGAGTCTGTGGACTAAAGTGATGGCCTGTGGTTGCCTAAACGACCAGTGGTTGGGGCCCAGAGATGCTCCCAAATTCTTGCTTTCATGAAACACAGCGATCTGGGGGGATCATATGGATTTGGCTCTGGAGTTCACTTACAGGAAAGAGTGTGGACGTATACTCACAGACTTCGGAAAGTGAAAATATTTTCTTTCCCTGTGTGATTTGCACTTAGTAATAATATTCAGCTGGCCTGGGAGGGAAGTGAACGATATGTGGTCAGAGCTAGGGTCATAAGCTGGCCCACTCCAGCATGCACTGGGAGGAGTCTGGTAAGACTGGTCACTTGAATTGCTCTGAAAACAGGTTATCAGGATGAGCCTCTCCAGACCAAGCACAAAAAAAGAAATGAGTACGTAAGTCAGCGTGCAAAAGCGTATGTCAATTGTTGTTTTCTACAGGGTGAGTAGAATACCTTGGAGCAGATTAGGACATCCCTGAGGACAGGGGCTGATTCATCTTTTTCTCTCTGGCTCTCTCTCCTCGGCCCTTACCTGCAGCCCCAGGGCTTAGCACCCAGAGAAGTCAAACTCTGAAAGTGGCTATGCTGGCTTCTGCAGCATTCTCTAGGATGGGACTCTATCCTCGAATATCATCTTTTCTTCTTGCACCTGTGCTGGACTCAAGTTTGTAATGAGGCAAGATTAAATGCACACACTGGTGAGTAACAGCTCGGGACCCCAACTGGGTGAGACAGGATCCAGCCACCTGCTCTGTTCAGTCGGCTGTCCAGTTCCCTTGCCTGGCTCCCCTCCTAACAGGACATCCTGCCTGAGTTGGCCTGGCTAGCCTCAAGCGGGCGACCAGACTCTCAGACTCCCTGAGCCTGGATGGCATGGAAATGTCAGGACAAGAGGAGACACAGGGAGGAGGACAGGACACCAGACCAGGAGGGACCAGACCAGAAGGGGTGGGTGAGACACTGATACAGATGGGCAGTGACTCCCAAGATGCACGCTGCCAGGACCAGCCTCACCAGGCCAGGCACAGGAAGAGTAACGAGTATTTAAGTCAACATTCAGAAGTACATATAAATCATGGTGGCTTTCCCCCTTATCCTGTGTGTCTAATAACCTGCATCTGATTAGGACATCCCTAGGGGCAGGGATTGATCCTTTCCTCTCTTAATCTCTTACCTCACCCTTACCCTCAGCTCCAGGGCTTAGCATACAGGCCACTTGGCTGCCCACCTGACCGATTTTTTTTTTTTTCCCTTTTTTGTCTTTTTTCGTGACCGGCAACGGATCACAACCCTCAGTGTTGCACCCGTACCGGACCGGGACCGGCAACGGGATCGCAACCCTCGGTGTTGCTCCCACACCTCGCTCAGCCAGTGAGCGGCCGGTCTGTATGTGGGATCCGAACCCTCGGCGGGAGCGCCACCGCGCTTCCCAAGCGGTGCACTGTAGCAGTGCGCCACGGGGCCGGCCCACACCTGACCGATTTTAAAGCTATACACAAACACTCAGACAAGCAGGTGCCCTCACAGTCTCGATGGCCAGCCACCCCTAACAGCAGAGAGACTTCCACCTGACCGATTTTAAAGCTATACACAAACATTCAGACAAGCAGGTGCCCTCACAGTCTCGATGGCCAGCCACCCCTAACAGCAGAGAGACTTCTGAACCTCATAACCTTTACTGAGCCCCAGCTGGCCTGTTCATTTGGCACAATGAAGATGCTTCTCCATCCAGACCTGGAGCCCCTGCAGAGCCAGAACTACTCCAGTACTGGACAGCATCTTCCCCTCTCCCAGCAAGACAAAAAGTCACCTACTGTTAGGCCAAGACAAACTTGGGACAAAAATTAAATCAAAACAAAGTCCCAAACAAGCTGTATCACCTACTTTGGAATTTTTAATAACAGATGACGGTGGCAAGGCAGTAACATATGCACCGATCCTTGGTTTGGTTCCTGGGGAGATTTATGAGTCAGAACCTTGGGATGGCCCTGTCCCTAATCCCACATGGACGAAGCAAGCCCCTGTGTACTCTCCAGCAGCCCCCAGACCCACACAGAGCAACCAAGTCTGCACATACACCGAGCCCCTTTGTTTCCGGCATAGCCAGGGGCCGAGCACTCTCTGTCCTCATTACACATCCTTTGTGTCCTTCTGATCCCCACTCAGCCCCACAGGGTCAGGATCGCGGTTTCCTCTGCACTGTGCATGCATGTTTGCTCCTCTCGGTTTCCTGGGAGCCTTAGTCAGACGTCTAGTAAGAGCTGAGACACGCCATGCAAGGTGGGGAATGGGTGGGGATGAGTCTTCTTTCCAAGGAGAAGAGACAAGCAGGAAGCTGAGAATGAGAAAGAAATGCCCCATGCTTGTAGGGGATGGCAAGGCCAGATCCCCTCTCACCTGTACTGGTCATAAAGGTGATGACGGTACTGCTGATGCCCTCGTTGTCCCGGGAATAAACCCGCAACGTGTATGTCATCCCGGGATAGAGGTCTGTCAGCTGTATGGGCTGGGCCTGGGCCTTAACGGGGACAGTTTTTTTCGTATGGTTGCCTGGGGAACAGAAACCTCAGTCAGCCTAGAGCCAGGCACCAGGAGCAGGAGAGACAGTGCTTAGGTTCCTGGTCACCTGTCAAAGGTAGAAAGGGTGGGGGAAGGGGCCAGGGGACCGCGGGTCCAGTCCAGCACACAGACCAGGGGGTTACCAGGCAGCTCCCCCATGCCCATCCATGCAGTGTTAATTCCCTTAAACAATGACTTTCCAGCTGAGGACACCACTCCCTCTCCTAAAGTTCTCTTTCCTCACCATGGTCTTAGAGCTGAACATATTATGACCTACTTAAACTCTCAGCATGTCGGCTGCCTCTCGGTTGCCCTGGAAGTGGTTAACTTCCCATGTGGGATCTTTCTGGTGAGGGTCAGAAAGCTAGTTAGCATCCCTCATGGGGACTGGAGATGAGGCCTCTCATTTCTTGCCATGTGGCGAATCACACATCAGGAAAAGTGTGTGCCTGTGTCTGGGCTGTAGGGGAAGGGGGTGGAAGGAAGCTGAAAAAGTGTGGACCAAACTGGGGATTCCAGATTCTGTGGATGTGAACCCCTCCTCCAACCACAGAGAACTAAGAGTTTGCTTTGCTTTTGGCTAAGAGACCTATGGGTAGGCTAGCCCAGGTGGATTTTCTGGCTGGGTTGGTTGGCTTAATTGTTTACAGCACATGCTAAAAAGGCCAGGATGGTGAATTTGACCCTGCAGGAACAGGGGCCTTCACTCAGAGGAGAAGGTAGATATCGTTGACTACACCCTGCAGTCTAACCAATCTGTACCCTTGGTCCCAAGATCTGGTAAACAGTGAACAGCTCAGCTCAAGCCACCAGCTCTCTGAAATAAATGCATCTGTTCTGTGTCTCTGACTGTGGCCCAGTGGCATTCCTCTGTGAGCAAAGCGCAGTTGAAGCCCAAGACTGTGACCTGACCCAGCTTGTCTAGTGGAGACATCAGCAAATAGGGAGTCTGAATTAAGGAGATCAATGCAGAGGTGAGAGTTGGCTCCGCTGGGGGCCATTCAGAACCCAGCGTGAGCAGGAAATGGGTTAAGGGCCCAGGTCATCTGCAGCACATGCAACCCTCAACCTTCTCTAATAGCTTCAGAAGCCCCCTTCCTTCTTCCAGAGCCTGCTCCTCCCACCTTGCCGCCGCCACTGAGCACGTATCGATTTCATTAAGCCATAATTAAGCCAGGCTAAAAGGTCTCTCTGAGCCTGGGGGAGTTCACAGGATTTCTTTAATGGCATCTAACACTGCCCACTGCTGCCGCCACCACCACCCCACATAGCAATGCTTACTGTCGATGTACTCAACCACAAAGTCAGTTCCTGGCCCGAAATTGTGCTTCCAGGTGATGTTGGCCCATTTACTGTTGGGGAGCACTGTGACGTTCCATATGGACTGTTCGTCAGGGGCTGGTGGACGGGTTAGAAGAGGAGTTAGTGATGAGGAGGGAGGCAGCACCAGAGACACGGACAGACGCGCGCACACACACACGTGCATGCACACGCACACACACGGTCAGCTAGGAAAGGGTAGAGTCAGACGGTTGTGCACAGGGCCCAACAGAGCTCCAAGCTGCAGACTTGGTGGCCAGGCCAGAGGTCGCCGTCCAGGGACGAGCAGGTGTAGTCGGGAGAACTTGTATGTAAGAGGGCGCTGGAAGGTGTCTGTGTGTCCACACAGGTGGAGTTAGGAATGGAAGAGTAGGTTTTGATCCATGCTATTTGAGGTTCTAACCTGGGCTCATTCCCTTTTTAGATCCCTTGTCATAAATTTGAATAGCACAGGGAAAGGGGCCAGGAAAAAGGCCCTGTGGCCAGGATACAGATGGGGGCGGGAGGGGGGAAATGTGCCAGCCTCTTTTCCTACAACCATGGAAGTTCTACAGGAAGGAGAGAGGTTATCTTTGAAAGCCGAACAAGTCTGGCTGGTTAGGTCAGTTGGTTAGCACATGGTGTTATAACACCAAGGTCAAGGGTTCGGATCCCCACACTGGCCAGCTGCACCCCCCACACCACCCCACAAAAAAAAAAAAAAAAAAACAAGCAAGAGTCATGTTGAGATTTGCAGGAAGAGCAGGACCAAAATGGGAAAACCTTAATGGGCTCCCGGAGCTGGAGAATAGCAATCCTGGTCTGAAGAGCCCCTGGCATTGCTCTTGGTCAGTGAAAGCCTGGATGACGTGTAAAACAGCCTCAGAGTGTCTAAGGTGACTTGGGGCCTAGAATCCCAGGGTCCCAAGTAGAGACAGTATAAACTCTTCCTCTCCCTCTCATGAGCTAGGTGGGACCAAGAGAAGATAACTCCTTGACAACCAACCCACCCTCTGATCCAGACACCAGAAGAATCCTGTTCTGTTTGGCCTCTCAGCACCACAGAGTTTGTGAAGCTTGATCTCCACACAACACAGAGGACATTAATCATCTAATTCCTATGAGCTGGGAGATACTTTATCAAAGCCGTGGTGCTGTCTGAAACCATAGNATCTAATTCCTATGAGCTGGGAGATACTTTATCAAAGCCGTGGTGCTGTCTGAAACCATAGCCTGTGTACAGGGGAATGGCACTAATCTCCAAATGTAATCATTTTTCAAGAGTCCCAGTAGTCTGATTACCCCATTTCCCAGCAAAGATTTAATAGTGGAGTAGTAGCATGAAGCACTGTATTTCAAAGACTTTACAAGTGTAGCTCCTGTATATTTTATTAGCATGCAAGGGGGTACTGTCACCAACTCACTTGTCAAAAATAAATGAATAGACTACACTGGAGGTGCATTTATTCATTATCTATTTGACAAGTGACTGAGTCTGCAGGGCTGGGGAAGTGATAAAAGATCTCCTGGTTTTCACTTCAAAGAAGTGCCTACTCCACTACAGTCTTGTCAGGTGCTGATCGCCCCAGGTGAATATGCTTCATGTTAGGAGGGGCCAGGACAGACATTCCACATGGGGCGGGCAGAAAGTAGGCTTCTTTACTCATCTGTCGGATGTTTCAATTGTACTGTCTGCTTTAAGTCACCCCACATCCCAGCTCCTTGGAATTTCATGGCTCTTGCCAATGGGAACGAATTATGATTCGCCATGATTTGAGTTTCAAATCATGATTTGGGGACTCGAGTTTCTTCTTCCTAGCTCTGGGCCCTGTAAATAGCTAGAGAATTTGTTTAAACAATTTGGCCATCAACACAAGATTGATTCAAATTTGGCTGTCTTAAAGGGAATGGATATTGGGCACTTTTAGAAAAAGTCAAGTGATGGGAAACCAAAATGACTTAGATTTGGGTGCTGGAGGAAGACATTGCCATAGAGGTCAAGATGACAACCAGTGATGAACTGGAAAGTTCAAAAAGAAGGACCAAGAAGATGAGCTGTCAGTGACCATAAAAATAAAAAGGGTAAGTGAGGGAAGCACGGATTGTTCCACTGACTCCTGGAATGCAAGGACTAAGGAGTATCCCTTGAAATCTGAGAAAAAGACAAGTAGAGGGCAAATAAAAAGGCCTATTTCAATCTGAAAAAAGTAAACTTATCAAACATTTTGTCCTAAGACATAAGACATAACAAAGATGAAAATTCATTTTAAAAATCCTGGATGGCAGCGCCATTCTGCTACGTTAAGAGAAGTGAAGATGTTTGAGGGGTGTCCCCAAGCTCTAGATAAGATCAGGGACATGGCCGAGGACTCCGGACTGTTTCAGAGACAGATGAAACTTGGAGTGTGAGAGTCCGTGGGGCCAGTCCCTTGTGGCAGCAAGGCCAGTCTTTGCAGAAGGCAGGTAACTCTGCTCTGCTGGGGAGCAAGATCCCCTCCCTTTCTTCATTCTTTGTGCATCTTTTCTGTGAACTCAAAGCACTCTTAGGACACAAAGCCCCACTTTAAGGAAAAACATGCCTCACTGTGGCCCCAGAGAACACCAATCATTGAACCACTGGTGGCAGCTTCTAATAGCCTAGTAGGTTTCTCCTCAGCCCACTTTTTTCCTAAAGTGCATGTTATTTAAATTCTAGATACTGCACCTACAGTTCTAGGGCTGCTGGAGGAGAGTTCTGTGTGCTTCCTGCCAGCCTTGCCAGCCGCCTCACACTGATTTTACTGGTGGCCTGCGGGCTCAGGAAGCTAGAGACCCTTCCCTCGGGGGTAATAAGACTGTTTGATGCTCAATGCTTAGAAGTATCTCTGCATTCCCCAGGGGTCTCCTCATGTGGAAGGATGGAGCTTCCTGGCCTGGCCGCATGAGGCAGGAGCAGCACATTCTCCCAGCTTAGCTTTTGATGCTCAATGCTTAGAAGTATCTCTGCATTCCCCAGGGGTCTCCTCATGTGGAAGGATAGAGCTTCCTGGCCTGGCCGCATGAGGCAAGAGCAGCACATTCTCCCAGCTTAGCAGGTCAGCCCTGGATCGATTCTTACCAGGGGCCCTGAGAATGGCTGCGATTCCCTCTCCATGCGTGCATCTGGGGACATGGGCAACATGAGCGGGAAGAGCCACAGAGCATCTTCAGACATTACGGGACTCCTTGGCAATACTGTATCCTGAAGCTCTGACTTTTTAAAAGTCTGGTAAGTGTTCCTTGGGGGAAGAGGGGCAAGGATGGAGCGGGGGTCTGGGAACAGAGTTGCCTGGCATGGCCAGCCACTCCCCACTGCTCAGCCTCTGTCCTGCAAGGCTGGATACAGACACGGCTGGAGCAGGAAGCTCTCTTAGGCCGGTTGTAGAGTTCAGCTCCTTTTCTCCTCATACGCCCTCCCTTCCAGAGTGCTCAGCTCTGAGCCGACTGCTCAATATGCATTTGGAGGCAGCCTTACCATGTGGGACCTGGGGGTCCTGCCTGAGAAGCTTGGCCCTCTGTTAAAGAACAAGCAAGTATGTGACGCTAGGATGAGGAGGACCACCCAAGGAGCATGTGTGCGTGGGGAGTGGGGGGGGCTCTGGGCCTCTAGGCTACCAGACTGAGAGTCCAGTCATGGGTGTTTCCAAAGCAGAAACAAAGGGAGTTGTTGGTTAACACCACTGAAGACCCCACCACTATCTGGGGAACCTGTGGGATCGTCTCTTGAGACTGGGGGGAGGTGGGGCCAGGAGGGGATGGGGAGCATGGGCAATGCGCAGTACCAGATTCGTATATCTTAGTCCTGGAGGTGGTGGTGGGAGGACTCTCCGTGGTGGTGGTGGCGGCAGTGGTTGTAGTAGTTGTGGCGACGGTGGTGGTGGCGATGGTGGTAGGTGCAACAGTTGGGATGATTGGGACTGTTGTGGCTTCGGTGGTGGCTGCAATGGCAGTAGCATCAGTACTGCTCACAGCGCCCGTCGCACCCACAGTAGTCAGGGGCAGTGTGGGAGGAGCTGAGAGGGAAATGTAAAACAGCCGAGTCTGCTTGGTTTGGCTGTGCCCAGCCCGGACACATGGCCCCCGCGTGCACGGCAGGCAGCCCGGTGAGGAGGTCAAGCCCAGTAATCAGAAGCCTCTCCAAGGATAACGGACTGGATCAGATGGATCACAGGAAAGAAAACACAACCATGGGAAAGGAAGAGAATGAAGCCCGTGTGTGTTTCATTTTCTTCTCATGGTCTGTGTGGCTCAAAGCACCCGCATGCACCCAGCCACGGGCGAGGATGAGGATGAAGAAGGAACACACACTGAATCGCTCAGACCCAGGGACTGCATGGAATCCTGGGCCAAGCACCACCCAGACAGGCCCACGTGGCACCAGCTGGGTCCAGCCCTGGAGCCCCAGCCTCAGGGGTGGGCAGGTGGCTGGGCCCTGTCCTGCAGTGCCACAGGGCAGCCTGCCATTCCCAACTATTCTCTCCAAAATCAGCCTTTGTCACACCTGTCTGAGTTCAAATAGCCACCCAGAACCAATGACAGAGAGATAACAACCCCCACTCTGTGAGGTGGCCTTGCAAGTCTGTGGCTCGCCCTGCCTGCCCCGAGTCTTACTTTTCTTGTTTCTTCCCCGTGCCTCTCATCCCTCTCTCCCTTCTCTGCCCAGTCGTGGCCCTTCCTGCAATTACCCCAATCCACCCTGAATTCTAAAACTGCCTTCTAAGAAATTTGGGGTCCAGGCACCCCAAGTCCTTTCTGTTCATATTAGAACATGCGAAGGGCACTAATGGAATCAGTGTGGCCTGTGCTCGGTAGCGCTGTCTTCCCAGCATAGAAATCCCAGCTGTGAATGAAACACATGCTGGGCTTCTTTCTCGCTTAAATTTTCATCTGGGGCACAGGGTGGTTCATATCCAGGCTACCCCTCTCACGTCCCCCATCTCCCATCCAAAGCTACCCTTTGACATCAGTCAGCCCTGGGGATGCTAAGTCTACATATGTGACAACTTTTGCATAGGTCCTCTTTCCTTCTGTAGAAGGGTCATGGAAGCTAACAAAGGGCTGCCCTACCCTTGCCCCACAGTTCCAGTATTTGCTAAAGCTCAGAGTGTGAGAATGATGGGGAAAATTGGAGAGACACAGAGCTACCTCTCCTCCTTGCAATTCGCCTCTAATGACCTGACCACAGTTTGCTTTCTAGTGTTGATGCTAATGGGACAGTAGGCAGGGACCTTAAGACATAAGCAGGTAGCTCTGTAACTCCCAAGGAACAGTGACATCCAACCGTGATTCACATCTACAGAAGTTCAGGAAAATTATATCCCCAGCCTGCCAAGCCCTGCCCCTCACCCACTGCCTCCAGAAGGAGGCTAGGAAAGCCAGAGACAGAATTGCCTTCTTGACCAGAGTCCAACCAACAAAAGCCCTTTCACTCCTCTGGGCTGCCAATATTACAAGTCCCCCGTGGAAAAGGAGGGAATGTTCCTGGGGTTCCAGCCGCTTCCCTACTTGTAAGATCAGAGGTATACTGGGCCCAGAGGGTGCTGACCAAGAAGTCACACTGGGCAGCTGACTATGCCCCATACATTCCAGAGATTCCTGGGCAAGTTCAAAGCTGACAGTGCTATATTCTCCAAACCTCAGTAAACTTAAAGTCATCAGGAAGGCATGGGGGGTGGGGGTGGGGAGGACAGATATCCCTCTCATATTCTTTATTTAGCCCCATACATTCCAGAGATTCCTGGGCAAGTTCAAAGCTGACAGTGCTATATTCTCCAAACCCCAGTAAACTTAAAGTCATCAGGAAGGCATGGGGGGTGGGGGTGGGGAGGACAGATATCCCTCTCATATTCTTTATTTAAGGATGTATTCAGTCCAAGGTAGCCCAAGGCCTGGAATGTAAGTTCAGTACTATAAATACTCAGCATGAGGGAATAAGACAGACAGAAAGACACAGACACACACACACGGAAAAGCCCAAGAGACCCATGAGGCAAAGGTCAGCTTTTCCTAGGCCTGATCTCTGCAGCTCCCATGGCCATGGACACACATGGGTACTTCCTGCTGCTCTGTGCTGCTGGAACCTGGAGAGGTTATTTTGTCAATCTGGGCAGGATTGATCTGATTGAGTTCCCTATCAATAGCATAATTTCTAATAATTTCTGGCAAATGAAATGTTCGCAGTGCCCCCTTTCCCATGACTACCTAAAAGCCATCATTAGAAAACACTCTCTGGGGCTGGCCCGGTGGCGCACTGCTACAGTGCGCCGCTTGGGAGCATGGCGGCTCCCTCCCACCGAGGGTTCGGATCCCACATACAGACCGGCCGCTCACTGGCTGAGCGAGGGGCGGGCGCA